TTTGTTAATTTGGTATGATAGCTTCTTGAGTGAACTCCTCAGCCAAAAGACCTCACAGAGCTTTTCTGCCAAAGGCTGTCATTTTACAGGACAAAAGTCTCAGCCTTGCCTTCCCATTCAAGGTGTTAAGAACTCTGTCGCTGTCCTCAGTGGGAACGTACTTGGCCGGAATGAAATGCTTTTGCCTGAGGTCCTAAAAGCTCAACTCCACTTTATTTTCTTGAGCAGAATTTAGATCCTTGAATAATTTCATTGATCTCAGTGGGATTGCTCAAAGAGGAAGACAGCACAGTGAGAATTAAAATATTAACTGAAACATGAAGAATAAGAGGAGCATAAGTTGTCATGTGAGGCAGAGGCTAGACAGACCCTGGTATAGCTAGCTTGTTGTCTTGCCATTGCTTTGGCAACAGGTGGGATAATTTTTAGTATGCAGCTTTTTATCTTGGGTACAGGATGCATCCTGTCTCAGCAAGAGAAAACTTAAAGGTTACCAGCTGCAATTCTGGTTCCTCTTGAAGAGCACAAGGAAAAGCAAGAAGTAGAGAGGGCTTCAAAGACCTCACATACCTCTTGATCTTACTGAAACGTTTTCATCCTTTCAGCTTCTGAACAAGTCAGCTATGTCTCTGTGGGCATAGCAGCCACAAGTGCCTCTCTGTTGTCCACGGCATCATTCCTCCTTTGGCTTGCAAGACGATTCCGAAGAAAAGGTGAGCAATTGGACTGGGTCCACTGGTTGTATTTACCTTCCGGAAAAATTTTCAGTGGAGGAAAAAAAACCCACCTCCAAACCCCAATACCTTGCTTTTTGAAAAAGTGAAAATTCCCCATACTTAAACAAATTCCAAAATTATTTTCAAGAAGTCTACATGCATGCCATGTTTGGCTTTTGGATGAATATTTGAAAATCAAAAATAGTAAAAATTAAAACATTTAGAAAACAAGAATTAGAAAAAAAGCAACATTCTGTTTATCAGTAATTACTACCAGGGAAAGTGAATGGGAATTTTAGATGGGGCTAATGACAATACACTAATAACTGCCTGTGAGATTTGTTGCTAGATAATGGCTTTTTATCAGATATTCAGGAAAGGTTTTTTAGTAGAAGAAAAAGTTTGCATGAGGGGGCTTTCATCTTGAAATGCTAATACTTTTTCTTATTCTTCTTGCAGCAAAGAAATTTACTCCTTCCAGGTAAGTTGTGTCTCAAAAAGCAGCATGAAAAACACTGCAATCACTTTGCTAAAATCCATTTGGTACAAACCAGTTGTCATTAAATTACTCTTCATTTCTGTTTTTTATAGTAGCTGCCAGAGCCTAACCATCGAAGGTAGCTTCCAAAGCGCTGGCCAGAATGTCTAACTCCAGGAGTTTCAGGTAAGCACGTGAGATTGCTTGTGTGATTAAAAGGAAGAGAATTTGTGAGCGCAGCTATCACAGCTGTTAATTGCTATACAATTGCTGAAATAGTAACATGTGCTTTGGGGTATGCATCTTGGCATGGCATGAAAGTTCCTAACAAGACTGATGGATTTATTGCTTTAGAAATGGTTATTCAGCTCTGTAAGGATGATTGTGCTTAGCATTCTGTCCAGCCGCATATAGTATTAAGAACACTTTTGTGTGTTTTTGCTACCTCCTGCATACAAATTCCTCTGAAATGAGAGCAAATACAAATCTATGCCAATTTTTCAATTTATAGAGGAATTTTGTTCTCTCTGCAGGAATCGAAGCCATCTTTACTTATGTCTCAGAGACTTCCGGAGAATGAAACTACATGCAAATCAGCAGCTGTCCAGATGTTTTTACCTCTTGCTGACAAGATGATTGACCTTGTGTAGCGCTCAGAAATTTTGAGCTCAAGCTGTCTGGTATTTCCATTGAAGACAAGCAGAGAGTAAAACTCTGGCCTTCTGGCAAAATACTGTCGACATTCAGTCATGTAGTTATCATAACTGGGAGCTTGCCATCTCTTGTCCAGATGGTGAGCAAATAGTAAGCTGCTGCCTAAAGAGGAGGCTGGTTACTCCTCTGGTCTACTCAAAGGTACCTAGGTGAGGTGAAGACATGCATTATTTCACATCACTTACTACACTGCTGGAGATGTCTTCTCTGGAGACATACGGGTTATACTTGCAGAAACAGAATAAACAGGATGAAAAACATTCATTGAATAGCCTTGAAACCATTGATCTGGTTCATTGTTGAAGTCAGTTTATTTTAAGAGGATGACCCAGTCAAATATGCCTGTAGTGATATGGGCAAGTATTTAGGTTTCTACTGCATGTCCCAGAAAGCTTAGGGACTTTAAACTTTTTTTTTTTTCCCTCTAATAGCACTAGGAATTATAGTGCGTATACTAGGTACTCTGGTTTCTGAATGCAGCAAGTAGATCTGAAATGGTCTCATCCCTGTGGGATTATGCACTGTAATACAGGTGTATACATAAATATTTCATTGTGCAATTTTTACTGTGGATATTTCTGTGCTGTTAACTGTAAATGTATTGTAAAATACCTGTTCCTAAGTAGGTCTGTGGCCATTGATCTGGGCCCAGGTAACTTTAAAGTAATTCAGAGGTGTTTGTAAGGATTTCATGCCTGCGTATTATTTAGAAATAAAATGGAAGCCTGAGATTTGTGTGTGTATATATATATTGCAAGTATGATTTATTAAGCTGTTAAAGGACTATAAATGAGAGTCTTTCCTAATAAGTTATGTTTAAGTTATAAATTAAGAATCTCTGATATGTATTGTCCTATTTGTAACAGTATTTAATAAAATGTTTTAAATGTAATGCTCCCTTTTTGGAAACTCATATCTTTTAGATGATTTAGGTCAGCCCTCTGGGTATGGCTTCATCAGCAGAATGTGAGGGGTTTGGGGAAGACTGGCTAAATACCTAGGCTGTCCCTTATTTAGCTTTCTGTGTTTTCATAGCAGTCAAGGAAAGAGTAGCCAGCAGATGGCACTGACTGCCTGGGAGCTAGCACAGCCAGAGCTGGATCCCAAACCCAGCATCGCCAGCCCTGAAAGGAAGGAGGAAGGCTCAGCCATGTGTCCTGTACAGCAGGTGCCTGGACCAGCAGTGAGCTTTTCAGAGGCATGCTCAGGAGGGAGAGGAGAGCAGAAAGAGAAGCAAGTAGGTGATCTTGGTGAATAGTTAACAGCACAAACCCCTCAGTGCATGCAGGTCTTTTGCAGCCCTTTCTGCTGGGAAGTTAGGCGAGTGTGGGAGGCCATGGGCTAACAGGTGAAAGCACAGCTCTGGGCATTAGTGGTGACTGCTGTCTAGGGACCTCCATGCCCACCCTGGCTCGGCCTGTAGCCAAAGACACTGCCATGGGCTGGTGCTGGCTAGGTGCCAGTGATAGCCAGACACTCCTGTTGGCCACCCTATCCCAACACCTGACATAGCCAAGGAGGCTGCCCTGTGGCTCTCTGTAGCTGCTGCCAGGAGCCCGCCCTTGCTGAGTAACCA